ACCCAGCTCAAAAGACATTATACGATTCTATAAGAGCTCTTTGAGCGCTTATTGAAGCTTCCAAGACCACGCAACTCACATCTCTTCATTATACCCGCCCCAAATCCTAAAGTGGTTGATCCCCCCATGTCCGAGTCCGAGATTAAAAAAAACGACAACTCTATAGAGGATCCGAGAGGATCCGGTCTCTCACACCGGTCCTTGGCCACGCGCTGCTCGCTCATCCGGCCGATCCGCCGCACCGCCTCCCGCCATTGGGCGCTCGCGATTGCGCGGTGGCAGCGGAGCAGCTCGCCTGAGGCCGAGAATCGATGAAGAAGGCGCCGGTTGGCGCGGGTTTCGTGGGCGAGAGCGATGGTTTGGTGTGGGGGAGGGGTGACATCTTTTGGATGTTTTTGGGCTGCAGTGTTCTCTGTCCTATTTTCAGCAGTTGCCTTTTTAATCATGCATTCCAAATGATGCCGTGACTTCTTTTGTTGACAGCTCAGCAACGTACAAGTACAGTAATATGCCTTGGACACACAGAAGGACTTCTAGACAGGTCTGGAAGAACTCAAAGGGCATCGCTACTAGGAGCAAGAAGCTAGTCGGTTGGAGGAGGCCATCGCTACTATATAAGTGCATTTGTTGCTACCTGAAAGCCAAGAAAGCGACCTCCGGCATGTTAGGGCTCTCAAACAAGCGTCTTTCTTTCATGCACCAAGCGCAAGAAGTCGCTTTCGGTCCATCTTCCAGCGTAGGTCGACATGCCAAAAGGCTCCGGCCGACGGAAATGGCTTGAACCGTGGGCCCAGCGAGCTGAGTGTTCGTCGAATCAAGTTGTCAACATCACGTGATGGGTCATAGCTGTGAGGCTCCGATGGACAGCTCTATAGCTGAAACAGAGTTCTTAAATGCATGCCCCCAATGCCCAAGATGCAGAGAACATCAGTTTGCTTTGCATAAACCGACCCGGGCTACCCTAGCCGATGTTGGGAGCCTGGATTTTGGAACTTGTGGCAATTCTGTCTTCCCAACTTGCACTTGCGAAATTGAAGGATATTCTAGATTGCTACGGCTAGCCTTGAAGTACACTAACGACACAAACACTTTGGGGATCTAATTCTGCAGGCTAACTCTATGAATTTGCGGCTTGAGATTCTGAATGCATTTTGATGGCCGAATGTTCCATTTTCAGTGTGGTCATCGCCATTAATTACAGTAGTAGGGTGCAAATGTTGGAAAGTCGGCTAACTCTATCTAACATTGGGACTGTATCTGTTTCTTGGCAAAGACCTGGAACCAAAGATCGATGCAACGAAATGCTAAAAACGTCCCGCATAAAGTATGTATGTTGCCGACCACTACTAGCTTCTTAAGGTATGCAAAAGCCAAAAACATCCAAAGATGGGGTGGTACCCCCTCTAGGGGTAGGCTCCACTATGCTCCAACACCGTAAAACCTTGAGGGAACATCAAGAATGCGGTCCCCTCCCTGCTAGTCCACTGCATGGGTTGATGGAAGAAAAGCTACAAACAGAGAACAAATGCTCCAGTCCAGCGAAGTACCAGATGTGGCTGTTTGGTGCAAACACACTCCATCCACAAACATGGCCTTGTGAAACTACGAGCTTATCCTGTAAAATGCCGTAGAGGAGCAACTTCAAACAATAGAAGGGGTCTGTCCACTTGCGTGATTGTTGGACAAAGACAATCTCTAGGGCCTTTAGGGGCTTGCACATGTCCGTGGCTCTTGGAGAAAACATCTAAAGCTTGCGGCTAGCAACTCTCTTTTATTTTATTCACGACGTTGGGTATGAGGCAAGAATTGTTCTTCCAGCCAGCCCGAAGCATGGCTCGGCCTCCCAGAATATGCCAGCATTCCACCATACTCCATGGAACCAAAAAACACAATGTGTAACAAAAATCAAGTTGCCCTCCAGAACCTCAACAACAATTTTCGGTGTTTGATGTTTTAACGTGTCCATAGTTGCTCAATCAATTCTGCACCTCCACTACAAGCAATTGCAAGGTGTTCCAAAAACTTCCAAAACATGTTTTGCTGACGGATGCAAGTCTGCGCATGTCTGTGCATGTCACTCATGCCTTCTTTCAACGACGGATGCCGCGTGAAGGTACGGTCATCCGCCACCGACCCACGAACCCTCAATGAGAAGGCTTTGCACCCCTCCCCCCATGTGGCAGTGACATGCAGTGACTGGCCCTTGCCCTGCAAAGCGCTTCTAGCCATTCTGGACACCTTCACGTGCGATGAAATTTCTTAGCTGACACTGTCATCAGGAGCACGCCAAACCTTAAATCTCTGGCAATCGTTGGCCAGGAGGTTCTTCGTTGTGGGACTGGCCCAGCATTTGCAGTGACCAGCTGCCATCTGTCCAACATGTCGAGCAACCCAAAAACCATCAAACACCATTGATTGACTCTTTGATGCCTAACAATCCATATTCCAAGGGTGCCTCATGGTGCCAGTAACGCTCCAAGGACAGACTGCAAATGGTGGACTGAGCTGATACGCCCATGCGCCCGTTAGATTCTTGACCTTTCACAGCAGTGGTCAAATGACCGTGATTGAGCCCACTGTTTTTTGGATCATTTCTGGTCGTGCATGTTAAACAAAATACATGGCTTAGATCCTTCCAAAAGCCAACGGTTGGCTAACCCTCATAGGTTGTGCTCCAAAATAGCTCGGGCAACCCAGTACATAAGCTAGAAGTGGAATGAAGTGGGTAGTAGGATGTAGTGGGAATGGAAGGAGAAAGGGTTGCTTTCGTTGTTGTGACAGCATTGGAAGGCGACCTAGGTCTGGCATCAAGCGCTTCCTTTTAGCCCTGTTTGGGGGGATCCCCAAAGGGGAAATGGTAGACAAGGCACCCTGCCATCTCCTTTTTCGAACGCGGTTCTCCCTTCCTGCAGGAAAGCTTCTTGAGGGGATGTCAAGCAGAAGTTGAGCACATCACTTATATATGTAGTGGATGTTGCCCTGTGGTCCCTTACCCTTACATACAACAAACCAATATAAAACATATCCCGTAGTGGCACAAGCTGCAGTCCGTAACTTGAGTTCATTTTCCACATGGAGTGACTGAACGTTCTTCTTCAGCGGGCGCAATTCTCAAAAATGTTGCAACCCTGCTTACCTTGGTGCCACAAATTGTGTAAGAGTGTTCTTCCACCGGCAGCATGTTGCCACATCCTTCTGTTGAACGTCCGCACCTTTTCGATCCAAATCTCAAAGAACCCTGGGGTCGCTGCATGGGCAAGCTTCGGAGTTGCCGGCAGGCAATTTCTTCAGCGGCTGACGTCGAGCGAAGCCCTCAACGCCATATAATTCCCTCGAACCTCCACAAATCTCCAGCCTACCAAAGGCTGTCTTCCATGGCTCAACATCTGTCACACAGGTGCGATCTCGTGAGAAATTTGGGGAACATCCTCTCTCTCTCTCTCTCTCTCTTTCTCTCTCTCTCCCTCTGTCTTTCTCTCGCACTGTCTCTCTCTCTCTCTCTCGACCTCTCAGTTGGTCTCAACATGGAGGGGACAAGCCACACCGCTTTCATTGTGGATGCTGTTAGTGAGGGCCTTTGTAAAAAGTGGATGCAGTTCGCACATGCCAAAAACTGTTCGGTACATTTTGAATGAGCTTGCTGAATGAGCGTGACCAGTGCCCCTAGAGACTCCCCGAACAAACCTTTTAGCAAGTCATCCTAGTTGCTTGACGACTATGGTTGACACGAGTATGGTGGGAACAAAACACTTGACCAACGGTTGCTTCCGGTGGTGGGGACCCCTTGCAGGAGCCGAAACATGCCCAACATCAGCTGCCGATTTCGAGACAAAGCGGCCGCGTTCACGGCTTGCTCCCACTGTGCTGATCACGCATCAAGGCATGGCACGTTTAGTGTGTATATATATATATATATTGCAGTAGTAGTAACAAGTGCATTACCATTAGTAGCTAGAAGCTAGTAGTCACTACGTTACATATGTAAAAGCATGATGTTCATCTCGCCACGATAAGCGTGTCCGGTAAAGAAGAAAGCTACAACTCCTTAAAGACTGTGGTTGAAAGGATTCGCCCCGCTGAATGACCCCAAACCTGCAAGCTTCGTAGGGTGGGATTTCCTTCTTTGGGTCCCATGTGGGTCGGCTGAAGCAAGAAAAAACATGAAGGCTAATTCAAGCCTGGCAATGTTCTAACCATACCCGTGTGCTTTTGCGTTTCGACCAACTGAGGGACCCCCCAAAAGAAGAGCACTGGTCGATTTCTACATACAGAATTCAGCCCGATACACACGAATCCTTCGTGGGATCAACAAAAACGAGGCTTGTGGCTTTGCCTTTGGCAAAGCCGGCAAGCCACCGACATGGACCTCCTGAGACCCGATTAAAAACATCAGTCAGGTTGCCAAGGGCATTCATCTGAGCCATTTTGGGCGGATGGATCTCATTCCATTCATCGGCCAAGCGGCTGAACAAGTAGCTGTTGGGCAGTCACTACCATCTCATGGTTGGTTCTATTATCTGTTTTTTTTGTGTGTGTGTCGTGTGCTCCTTTGTGCTATTGGATTGAGATGGGTTGAGTATAGTGGTCACATTGAAATGACTCAGGGACTAAATACAGTAGATTTCCCTACAGTTGGAACCAAAATCCTCTGTACGTCCATCGTTGAGCCCCGGCAAATCTTGGTCTCACGCGAAGACAAACACCTACATGTCCAATGGCAAATCATTGCAAATATGTGCCAAAATAAAGAAAAGGAACAACGTCCAGTGCCACCACATACAAACTACCCGGTTCCCGCGTTGTGCGGGGTTCTTGAACACTGAATGGGGCAGTGACGGAACCGACTGATCCATCAGCTCCAAAGTCAGTCCAATTCGCAAACATTGTGATAAGCCCTTGAAGCTGCTCGCAGCTCGAACCATAGTTCACGGAACAAGTTCCCGCCATCCATTTCAAAACATGAAATGCTTTCAAGCAAAGGCATGGGGACATGCTAGTGAGACAAAGCACAAAAAAATAACGTTTTCACGTGGTCGGACCCCTCCAGATTAGGCAGGAACCTTCACCTTCCGTAACTCAAACATGGCATCGCACCACTGACCTTGCACCTCGACGTTGGTCGGAGGCGTCATTCTGCTCCTGCCTGTGGGCACGTGGCGAGTCCCTCTACCTTTTTGGATCTCTATATCTCTGGCACTATCTCTGGCTAATTAGTGGCCGGAGAGGGCACGAGCGAGAAGGGAAGGCAACAAAGCCTACAAAAGTTGCACATCTCAAAATGGAAAGTAAAGTACACCATCTGCAGCCTACATCTATCTAAGAGTTTATCTACATATAATATATTGTTTATACCTAGTACACCAAGGTATAAGATTGTTGTCGTCTTGTGAAACTCAACGAACTTCTGTCGCTTGATGTTGTTTTTGTCGTTTTCTGCAAAAACTGCCGCGCTGTGGGTTTGCCTGCCTCTTTGAACCTTCAGTAGTGCAACAAAGAAGAGTGCCAACAAATTGTGCCGTTTGGGTTCTGGTTCCGCTTTGCGACGTTTTCGCCGTTTCATTTGTTGTGTTTCTTTTGGGTGAAGTGTCACTGTTGGTCATTTCCCCAGTCTATCCCAACTAAATAGAACTGCACTACAAAAAATCCGCAGCCTGCCCCATGAAGAACTATGCTGTCTTCGAAACAACCCTAAACATACATTCAAAGGAAGAGGTATATTTGATGAGGTCTCTCAAACCTGTGCCAATTGAGGCTAGTGCTGAGTGCTGAATAAGGAGGAGCAATCCATGCCATGATGTCATGATGCCCCCGAGTGCATAGTGTTTAAACACATATACACTCTTGTGTGAAACATCCGCAAAAACTATATAAATAGCACTCACCTGAAAATAGCTCCAACTTCCAAAGAAATCCATCCAAACTCATGCTGACACATCGACTATAGATCTCTGCACCTCCCCATCTAATCCTTCCTCTTTGGGCTTTTGTGAGGCCGATGGTTCCCTGAAGTCATGGTCGCCTTCGCAGGAGTCCCCGCAAGCCATGGGCTGCCACCACCTCAGACCAAGAGAGCGTTCCCGGTTGCGGCCCTTGCAGTGAGGACTCATGTGGTAAACAAAGATGTCGTTCTAAGCACCGTGCGCACCGTAAACTTCTCACCGGTGCTTCGAATTCGTGGGGAAATGCATGGAAATGTGGTGTTCTGCCAGGAAAGAGTTCATAGAATCCTCGGTCTCCTCTGTCTGTCAGAAGATCCTTCGGTCGCACTCATCACTCAAGAGGTTGGTAGGTCGGACATGTCACACACCTGGAGTCATGCAGAAAGCCTTTTCTTGGTGGTCCCGGTTTCCATTGCAGTCAGGATGAGGGTCTTCCATCCTGTAGGAGGGTCATTGCAGTCACAGTAGGTTTCATATACTTTGTCTTTGGGATGATTGGTTTTGCACTCCGGGAACCAACACAGGAATGTTTCACAAAACACCCCTTCCCCAAACACTTCTACAGTAAACGGTGACCCCTTCCCGTTTCATGCAAAACAGGTTATTATGCGGTACCCACTCTGTGAAGCAAAGGTCGTGACCATTCACCAAGTGAACATTTGGGTTGTCGGGTTGAACCCAAGCATCACCCACTGCAGCGATTAGGAATTGTCATTGGTAGAGCCACTCAGCAAGTGGAAACAATCAAAATATATCAAAATACAAGCAAAAACGAACAATTACCATGAGGGAACCATGCATAAGTAGAGCAAAGGTGGCTGGTGAACCATTCGACACCCATTCAGAGTTTCACAGAACCAATGGCACAGGCCTCCAGTAGGTGGTTTATATATGTCCGTTATGTCCGTTACCGATTTATATTCTTAATTATATTGTACATGATCTAATTCTCTCTCTAGCTATCGATCGATAACCCCCAAATACGCCCACTTAGACTTAGACATAATTTATAAAGAAGTCCAAACTTAGCTGGCAAGGCTCCACGGCCACGATTCCTAACCAACCGTCGAGACACTGTGTCGTTTGGCGGCTCGTTGATCCGTCGCCAATTCTCCTGCGTCATATCCTGGGCACTCCGCGGTTTTCCGGTTTGATGCAACAAAATCTCCAACGCCGCTGCAAAAAGGTATCCTGGAATCCTTGAAACCTTGGTTTGCACCAGGCTCGCGGCTCTTCAAAGTATTCAATCAAGGGTTCAAGCGGTAAATTCACACAAAAAAACATGAAAGGACATCGACGAATAAACATGTTTCCTGTTCGTCTTCTTCATGAGAAAATTTGATTTTCCTCCAAACAACTGTTTCGCAATGGTGGCTTTGATATTATGCAAACACCTGGGTTTTAAGGAGCACCTCCAGGACAAGCATTGAAACACTGACCATGGCACAGTTGGAGAGCAGTCATACCTCGAGATCCTGCCGCGCCAATGGGCGCATGTGCGTCACAAAGCCATAGCCATTGGACTTCCTTTAGTCAACTATATACAGTAACCCTGAAACTTGGTCCATCTTTGGATGCGTCTTTTTGGCCAACATCGAAAGGCCGCTGAAAGGGGATCCACAGATCGGGAGCAGCGACAAAAGGAGTCAATCTCTACTCATGGATCCAATATCCTGACTGTCCCATTTCACAAACGGAATTCCTTGCTTGATTTGCTTGTAAGAATCTCGCCCGCTGCCTTTTTTCGGAAACGGTGCTGGAAAGCCCTACTAGACTCTAGACCATTTAACTTACCGTACTTACCTCTACTAATTACTGGGGGTCGGGGTCGTCTATCTGTTTTCAACGTTCACTTTGAGAGCGCAGTCCTGAAACAAGAAACCAAAGAACAACATGCACAAAGCTGACCCTGAAACTACAGCAGCAATGCAAAAAAAAGAACTTTGCTTTGCAAATGATAGATCTCCAAGAAGAAACGGCATGAGGCGGTGTGATCCACCCGTAGCTTGGCTCGTAGTAGGCAGCTCTGAAAAACGTAGGCGTTCTGAACCTCGGACCGTCGAGAGGACGAGGATCTCGGAGACGAGTGAGTGGTAGGAAACAAGACTTCTATATGTAGTATATATATATACAGTATAGGTAGGGCTGCTTCCTGCTTTCCTTACCTAGGAAACAAGACTTCTTGCCTGCATGTAGAAGTGGGGAAGCACTAGGAGTAGTAGACTTCCAGAAAGTGGACATTGAATCACCATTGCCGTTTTCGGACATGTTTGGAAGGCAAACCACTGAAGACCGCAAGACGTTTGCCTCTTGATTCACCATTTTGGGCTTGGCACAGAAGAAGATCGATCGATTCAGTCTGTTCGAAGCTAAGCTCCGGCATCGACTCCGGAATCGACCGTTCACTGATGTGCCTACGGTCATCTTACTGGCCATTCTTGACCGTTCTTGACTGGCGCAGAACTGCCAAGGGCACCATGAGCACAAAAGAGGACAAATCCATCAAATCCACCTGAGAGCACATTCATTCATGTACGTCTTGCGCCATGCTGAGGTGGCAAAACAGATTCAAGTCTGCACTGCTTTTGGACAGTTGCTGCAAAAGAGTGGTTCTGTAGTGGATCCAAAAACAGAGTCGTGATGTAGCTAGGCTTCTGTACTGAAAAAAGTCGCTGGTTATACTGAGCTCAAGGCGTTCACCACCATACAGCTCCCCTCTGCCACTGCGCGCACTGCTTGCAACAAGTCCACCAGCACCTGTCCAGCTCGTGAGACGAAGTGGTGTGAGAGTTTTGTCACAGAATCGGATGGGCGGGAGCCGAGTTCGAGCGCTCTTGGACACCCTGTGGATGTGATATGTTCGTCGGTCGTGTTGAGGAACTTGTTGGTTCTGGACAACTACCGCTGGGAAAACACCGGACACAAGAAGGATGAATAAGGCAATTGGGATGTGTGCAGGAGTCTGACTTCGGGAGCCTTGCACATTTCTATGCTTTCCTTGTTTCGGCGGGGCAACAATCGTACAATTTGCAGAATCCTGGAAACCGAGTAGATGAGTTTAGTCGTCTGCGAAGAAATAAGCAATGTGTTTGATACTCTTGACAAATCTTCGTTTAATAAATTTGGAAGGTTCGATATTTTCAACAGCTGGACTCAATCTGCTCTGCAAGCAGAACGTAATGTAGAATGTAATTGTATGATCATCACAAAAAATACAGTATCATACATCTCCTAAAATCTCTGAACGCTTGAACGTTGTAGGCAAACATGCCTCAGGTGAAAGCATTCAACCAACTCCTGCACCACCTGAGCCCGCTGGCGTAGGCCACTGCCGAGCACCCTGGGGTCTAAATTCAGCCGTCCCACGAACGGACATTCCGCTTCAAACGGCCTCCAGGAAAGCGCTCAGGGTGACAAATGGGTTGGACCGGGCGTTCTCCAAGCACTGCGGAAGGTACTCGCACATCATGGCCTGGTCAGCCAGCAAGTCATGCAAGGCCCTCATCTTGTCCACGCTGCTGAAGGGAGCATGCAACACATTGGCTTTCGAAATCATCCAAAACAAAATGAACACACCTTTTCAGAATCTCAACAAGCCTTGGAGCTCAACAGCTATTCCTCTCTTGGTGCTCAAGGAAATGATATGCGCTGATTATTCCCTGAACACCAATGTGGCCCCTGTGCTCACCCAGTCTGCCTTGGTCACGATGCCATCAGCCAAAAGGTTCCGAGTCAACTCTAACTGCTGTGCCTCGCAAGGAGTGAATGGACCCACGTGATCACGAGTGAACTTCATGGACCAACTCCTGTCAGACCCGGTTTGGCGAACTCTTTTGCTGCATCTTTCTCATTGATAGGGCGAGAACGGGGCGAGCGGGTTCATCGAGGGTCGTTGAGGATGACGACGAACCAAAATCATAATAATGTCATCAACAGAGACCCACTACCAACCTGACAAACAAAAGTAGCAAACGCAAGCAAAAAACAAACCCATTTGCAAATAGACTGCATCACATCTATCACAACAGAATTCCATAGAAACACAGAATGGCCCACCAATTACGACCTTACGACCACCGGACAAGCTTCCTGGAACCATCCTGGAAGCTCAACCCCTCTGCGTTCTGTGTCACATAACATGAACGTGTCCGGTTCCATCGCCTTTTGCAAGCGGTTCCACGCGTCTTGGATGCGGAGGTAATCCTGGCGAACAAGGCATCTCCGTGACCATCGGCGGGCACCGATGTCCTTGCGGGCATTCTGCCATACCAAACAAAAATCAAAGTGCATGACGGTACTAGGGTGAAACGACAAAGGAGTTGTGAAAAATACCTCAACACTTTTGCTGCTAAGTATATAATAACCCTGCGAACCCGGGAGACCAGTTTAACGAGTGCATATGTATAAGAACGACTTTCACTGCATAACTCTGCACACCCGCTCTCTGATCACTTTTGGTACACTTCCTCCGATCATCGTCGCTTCCAGGCCGACATGGTGGTTCACGGGTGTTTCACGGGTGTTTCACGAGTGTCTCACGGGTGAATCACGGTATCGCCCATTAACGTTTTCTTGAACAATAATTGGCTAGAAGTATTTTTTACTCCACAATCACTCTTGGTACTAATTTACAGGTGGTTAGAGGTGGTTAGAGACAAGTAAAGTACGATCTTTAAAAGTAAAGTACGTTCATGTGAATGAATTTGATATGAACAAGTTTAACGAGTACTTTGGTTCATAGGGTAATATATATAATTAATCATTTGAACAACCCGGTTGATGAGTTTTCTGGCTGCTTCGAGGAATGACAAAATGGATGCAAATGGATTGTTCTGGCCTTCTGCATCATAAGTAATGACGAGATTAGCAATGGCCATGAATCAGAACAAAGGAACACATGAGACATATATGATTGACACTTAAAGTTGACACGTGTGTGAGTCTGAGTGAAAACATCATCAAATGCTCACCAATGTCAGTGGGGCCAAGTAGCCTTGCAAATCCTGTTAAACCACAATAAAACAAACACTCTCCTTGTGAGGAAAAAACGCTATCCGCTATCACAACGCTGGTGACCTGGTGTTCATCTTCCAGATCTACGTTTGTGTCAAAACCACTTGGGCCTGTCACAATTTAAACCTTTGAGGAGCTTCAATGCTCAGTTGGTCTGGCCACGGCGCCTGGTAGCTCTGCGCCCGAGCGAGGCAGGCCAAGCGCGCCAGAGCCAAGTGCGCAGAGCCACTGCCAGGACTCCATTGGAGACTCCTGAGGGATGAGGGAGATGTGTCAAGGACCGTGGCTGTGGAATTCAGCAGTCTTCCAAAGCGATTGTTTTGCAAATAGCCAAGTTGAGTTGTTTCTCTTAAAAGTTGTTTCTTTGGTATTACTGTTCGTCTCCTGGGTCATGGTCTTGTTATTTTGAATAGCCAACAGTACGAGTTATTTGATCACATTTAAATGTATTGAGTCATTGTTGCTTTGGAATATCCTGAGACTGCACGAAAGCTGGAGCCAATTCATATGAACAGTTTGATGAATCGGACAATGTAATTGTGTGATATTATAATGTCTCTTGTCAAAAATGCACGGATTTAAGGATTTCCCCGCGTGGCAATTAATCTCAACACTCAACCATTGACTTCCTGATCCTTTGGATGTCTATTTGTTGATGTTAAGTTCAGCACCAAAGGAATTGATTTTCTTGTTCACTTTATTTAAAGGGATTGCAGTACGATTTATCCTTCCTCTTGTACATTAAAAAGGTTCCATACAATGAACGATAATGAATGCCTTTTCTTCCTTTCCAACAACCATTCCTGCATCAAACTGCCAGGAATTGTTTCGGTAGGATCTTTGACTGAAAACCCTCCCTCAATTGGTTTCCAAATCCAAGCCCAACAACAAGTTGGAATCTTAGCCATTCGTCCCACCATATGAAAACCCAGGAGGCTGAGAGTTGGACGTTCCAAGAACGATTAGATCCCCTGCAGCTCGTGGGGATGACGGCGCAGTCGCCCTTCGAAGAATCCACGCGCCTTTGACGGAGATATCCCCAGTACAATGGTGCCGGCTCATCCTCCAAGATGTTCCTGCACTTGCAGGCCGGCAGGAGATGGTCAAAGAAACCCAAGGAAACATCTTCACGGTGAGGCTACGAAGCGTCGTGAAGCTGCGAGATGTTGTCAGGCCAGGCCTCAACACCTGACACCAGGGCACGATTCTCACCCACAGGCCACCCAGTTGCAGTCCTCATCATGCTCAATCCAATAAGCACTGAGGTTGCGTTCCGATTCGTCATGAAGCCTCGGGTCAAAACGAATGTCGTAGACTCATGACTCCAAAGGTGTAATGGCCTCCAACCTAATAGCAATGGCCTCCAACCCAATAGCACTGGCCTCCAACCTAATAGCAATGGCCTCCAACCTAATAGCAATGGCCTCCAACCCAATAGCAATGGCCTCCAACCCAATAGCAATGGCCTCAAACCCAATAGCAATGGCCTCCAACCTGATAGCAATGGCCTCCAACCTAATAGGAATGCCTCCAACCCAACAGCAATGGCCTCCAACCTAATAGCAATGGCCTCCAATGGCCTCCAACCTGATAGCAATGGCCTCCAACCTAATAGCAATGGCCTCCAACCTAATAGCAATGGCCTCCAACCCAATAGCAATGGCC